TTTATTATATATTTCCCGCACTTCTTTTTACAACTTGCAATTATATGTGGTAAAGTAGGAAACAAAAAGTGCAATAAAAATTTGCGATGAGTGCAATAATAGAGTGAATTTGATGTAAAAGACAATTAGGTAAAAGTTGTTGAGAGGTTATAGCACCATCAGCACTTCAAGGAGAATGAGGAAAATATAGGTAAAAGCTAGGATAGAAGACAATTCATAAATCAAAGAGCAAAGGTAACAATCTTATCAGTTATCTGATCGTTAAGAGATAGAAAAATCAGTTAAGAGATTTTTCATTGCTATATTTTTTTTGTTCAAGTTAATGAAAATATGTTTTTTTTTGTTCAAGTTAATGAAAATATATATTTTTTTGTTCAAGTTAATGAAAATATATTTTTTTGGATAAAGTTAATGAAGATTTTCTTAAATACTATGAACTCTTAGGCACAAAAAGTGACACTATAGTTATGTTTATAGAGGGTTATCTTTTAAGAATCTTCCTCAAGCAGATGATGATGCGATTAACATATTTTAAATCCAAGGGTTTGGTAAAAATAGCAGCTGAACAGCAATAAGCGGTAGCTACTCATTGCCAGAGACATTCTCTTAAAAAATCAATTGTAAAAATTTTTTTTTGAAAATGAATTCTAAATCCAACAGCATATGATATATTTCAGTGAATTTTTTTGGTAATGAATAGCTGACGCTTTTGGCTGTTTAGCTGTTATTTTTACAAAACCCCTGGATATATTAGGAATGTACCGAAGCCAGAGGCATTGTTTGCTGAGTTGCTTCAAATTAAAGTGAATAACTATAATTATAAATAATATAGCAAAAGCTATATTATTTATAAAATTGAAATAATGTTTCAGTCTTGACAGTTTAAAGAAAAGTTGTAGTATTGTTTAACGTGGAAAATAACGGACCTTAACGGTTTACGACCATTTAGAAAGAACAAAATTTCCAATTTGACTTCCCAAAACCATTTCTTGCCGACCTAAAAAGCCAGTTAAAAAACCTAAAATTGTGGTGAAATAATGTTTTAAAAATTCAAGAATCTAGTTTGAAAATAAATTTGCTAAAACTTAATATAATCAAAAAGCGTTTAAAATAATTAATAGTAATATAATATAAATAATAATTAAAGTAATATAATATATTACGTAATATATATTACGTAATATAAAAATACGTAAGATATATTTACGTAATATATAATATAATTACGTAATATATATTATGAAATATATACGTAATATAATATATTACGTATATATTTAATTTCAACGAAGTTAATTAATGTATCTTTAACTTTAAAAGTATTTTAAACGCTTTTTGATTATATTAAATTTTATTAAATTTATTTTCGAACTAGATTCTTGAATATATTATATTCATACATGAATGAATATATTATATTCATACATAAGGCTTGTTACATATGAAGTAAACTATATCTTTTTCTTTTTTTATCTTCACTTATTTGACTTTAATTTAACTTCATTGAATCGAACTCAAAAAATCCTCGAATGCTTTTTTTTTTATATTTGAATCGCTAACTTGAAAAAGGGGACATGTCACAAAAAGTATTTCTCTCAGAAACTAAAAAAAATTGGTCTCAGAAACTAAAAATAATTGGTCCCTAAAAAATACAATTTTGATTTGGGACATATCTTTTTTTTCCAGTTAACATGCTGGTTTTTTCATTTATGACAGTTTATAAGGTAAATAATAAATAAAAAGTTGTACAAAATAAATATCTTTCAAAAAACAAACTAAAATAAAAAATATTAAGAATTAGAAATAAATTTTTTATTTTTGAAAAAAAAAAGTTATTTAATAGAATTTTGAAGGGCTACTGAGCTGAATAAATTCTTTAGTCCTCTTCTATATTAATACCTTGTCTGGTAGGAAGTTTCAAAATTTGTTCCCAAAAAGACAAAAATTCTGCAGATTTAAATTTAATTGTTTTTCTAATATCTTTCATTTTAGAAGCAAGGATTCGAAGTTTTTCCGAACCGAAAGAAGCCATGTTGGCATCTTTAGATCACTAGTTTTTTTTTTCTTATGTCAAATTTTTTTTTTCAATGAAGTCACCAATAAATTTCTAGCAAGTAACTTCTCCTGGTGTTTGATTGTTCATGTAAAACTGATGGAAAAAAGAAATTGCAAATTTTGTTTTAAAAGTAGTTAACCTACCATAGGAGTCATTACTAAAAGCCTGCCTTTTATAGTAATTAGACCACCATTGTTTATAATCAATGATATTGTCTATACCAACTCCCTGTAATTTAAATTTATGGCGTTTTGATGATTGAAGAATCAGAGATTTATATTGAGATAAAGTATAAAATCTCTTAGTGCGCCGTAGAATTTTACTTATCAATCCAAAATCTATATCGCAGGGCATGTAACTGTGACCTCAAATGGAAAAATTTACAATTATCTCGTCAAACTTTCCTTATTCTACCAGACCATAAAAAAGCGCAGAGTTGTGTGGTTTTTGTACTGACCCCTACAGTTATCAGCAAAAATGTATAATTTCTTCACATTTGGAAAAGTTCCATGTAAGAAACTGCAAACATCGTTTGGGCCTTTGTGCCCATCAAACTCGCAATAAGTGTAGCATACCATATTTTCTAAGTTGATATCATGAATGCCAAAAGTATTGAAGGTAAGTTGAAGGAAATAGCACAAGTCTTGTACGGGGATGGTTGGTTGCCAGAAACTGAATCATCTGTAGAGCAAATCTCCTTGACCAATTTAAGAGAGCTATAAATTTTTTTTGCTCGACATTAGTGCACGAGTAATTCGGCTGCAGCAGCTCTTTTAGCATTCTCATTAATAGAACTGCTTTTACCTTTAAAATAAAGTTCTTCACACTGAGCACAACAGTCTTTTGCTGGCCTTCTTTTTCTTGAAATACCATGAGCGAGTAAAAAACATTTCTTACAAACAACCTTTCTCGATCCATCAAGGAGTAAATGGTATTTTATTGTCTTTGATTTTGACTTTTTCAAAAATTTAGACGTTTCAGTCCTTCCCTTTTTACAACTAATAGATTGTAATTCTATCATCAGTTGTAAATTTAAGTCCTGTTCTTTTTTTGAAGGAATATTTTAGAAAATATCCATAGTTTTTTCTTTTGCATTAGTTGAAAATGTATCCAAACAATTTGATTTGCAACTGCAATGAAAAAGTAAGAAAACCTTTACGAGAATAAACGAGAATAATTTTATTTATAAATTAAACAAAATACTACACTAACCTACTGATTGCAGCTACTTGTTTGGCAAAAACAATTTTTATAACATGATTTTTATGCTCTTTTCCTAACAGTTTTTCTTTTTTAATAATATTTTCTTTATACCTGTGACTATTAACAACCCCTTTCTTTCTTTTGTTCCTGTTTGTAGGAGAACTACTTTGACTGTCTGTACTAGACATAATAAAATATAAGCAATTAAAATACACAAATCGTTGCAATAAACCAGATAAAGTTTGATATAGACGCTGCTTATTCTGACATTAAAATATAGTGATGCTTTTAGCGGTGTTTTTATAAATCAATGCTTTAAACTATTTTTATCAGTGTTTTTACGGCATAATATGTCTGGCAAATATGTTGGCATAATATGTCAACATATCTGCCAGACATATTTTATGTTGGCAGAAAATATGTATGGATATATTATATCCAGACATATTTTCTGCCAACATGAAATATGCCTAAAATATTTTCAATCGACTTATTTTGACATAATTTTATGTCTGAATTATTTTCTGCTGACATAATTTGACATATTATGACATATTTTCTGTTTCTTTTTTGCAATCAATTATGATCAGGTTCGTGCCGTGAGATTTACTAGAGGAGGGGATTACGACAAAAGAATTTCAGAAAATAGCATATTTGTACCCCTACCCCTTTAAAAAACGCCGTTTTAAATAGAAAATATAGCTCTTGCTAAATTTTATAATAAAATTAGCATGAAACAAAGAGAAACTAGTAAAAAATGGGGGTCAATCGCACCTAAAGAGTACGATACGGGCACCTTGATTCATATATATATATTTTTATTGAAAACCCTAAACAACAAACGATATTTTCAGCTGTTTATCTTCTTTAGTATTGAAGCTCCTGTAGTGGCGGTATCCCTTATTAAAATGTTAAAACCATCTAAAACCTTATTTTTATTATCTATAGTTTGTAATAAAAATAAGTGGTTTTTGTTAGTATGACTAAATAAAAAATTATTCTTTTCAAAAAAAAGAAAAAAAATTAGGTTATATTTAATTAAAAATTGAACCTCAAAATTTATAAATTTAAAACTATAAAATATTGAACTATTTTTTTTGCTTAAACAATAAAAAATGATAAAAACAAGCTATTGCATCTCCAATTAGTTACTCCATTTAGTTTATATTTTGTTAGTTTACTTGGTAACCTGTTTCAATTTACGTTTCTTTTGTTACTTTTTTCAATTCAATAAAAAATTAAAGATAATAAAACAAGTTACTTCAGACAAAACGTCTCCATTTAAACGTTACCCAGTGGGAAAAAGTCTTATATACGATGTCTTTAAGACGTGTTTTTTTAATCGATTATGCAAATCTAAAAGACATCTTTTTTCGACATCGAAAAGACGTCTTTTTCTATCTTGATCTTGTCATGAAAAGGCGTCTTTAAAACGTCTTTAATTTTAATTATGCATTTATAAAAAAGTTTTTTTTCTCGGGGTCGAAACGACTTTTTTGTCATACTTATTAGTATACTATAGTATCCTATACACTATAGTATTCCTACTTTTCATATATGAAAAGCTTTTTTTATCAAATGAAAATGATAATAGCTCTTCATACAAAGTATGACAAAAAGCTCTTTCCGATGCCGAGAAAAAAACCTCTTTTATATGTCAATATAAAAGAGGAAGCATTTTCTACATCTTTTATATGTTTAAACATAAGAGAATATTTTATAAATAAAACAACAGTATTGTTCAACAAATTTTTTTTTTATCTTTTACTTTCTTTTCTGTTTCTTGAGCGAGCTTTGTTTCTTGGCGTTGTTGAATAAAATTAACTATTTCACGTCGAGAAATCCTTTCATACGAGCTGGTTACGACTTCTAAAAAACGAGTGAACATAATAAGCAGTCTATTGCTTGAATGTAATACAAAAAAGTAAATGAAATTTGATTAGCTCAGTAAAACACATAAGACTTACCGACTATTAATTCAAAAAAGGATGATCCTTTTAACCCCCTCATGTTTCCAGCACGGTCCTTTCTTTTTGAAGCCACTAAGGTTAGATTGGGATAGAAGTCAAACAGTAAACAGTCTAAAAATATATAAAAATGAGTGTGCTAAAGAAATTTACGACCATCAAAATGATTGTACAACAACTGTATTTTATTATGTAGTATTTAAACCAAGCTAAAAATTTGCACCTCTCAGATTTGCTATAAAAGCCAAGTTATTGAAAACAGATATTGATATTTTTCTGTCTACTATGACGTGACTTTTTAATTGAATTTCGCTGAAATTAAGTGTTGTAGACTCATAACAATTAAAAAATTCGTTATTGAAAAGACTATCAAAACGAAAAGATAATTCAGCTAATACACCTTGAGATTTGTTGTTCATTTAAACTGGATAAAAGTATTAATCAAAGCTCTATTTTAGCCTGAAACATAATGATGCTTTACTTAACAACATAAAATCATAAAAACTGGCGATATCATTAGCAACACAGATGAAATACACATAAACAAAAATGAAGACTAGAAAGCTGCAATGATGTTTAGATGTAAGAAAGTGTACCTTTCCAATATCATTTTCACTTGATCTTTTGTATCCAAACCAAAAATTTTGCAAACACTTCTAAAGATAAATCTGTTGTCATTATGTGCATTTTTTTACTTGCTTTGTTAGCGACAGATAACAGTTAACAAGGAAAGAACAACTTTTACATAAAAGTTAAAGAGCCCAACTTTAGTATAAACAATTTCATCATTCAGCTAAATAAAAACT